TCGCTATTTTGGTCATTTCCCGCTCTCCCCATCCGGAGCACTTGAAATCAGATTTGTGGAGAAAAACCCATGAGGAGAGTCTCAAGTATTACTTGCTAAACGATACGCAGTAGTTCATTAAGAGGATGATTGGCACCCAGGAAGACCTACTTTAGTGATTGCCTAGGGATCTGATAACTGGCGAATAACGGGGAATTACAAGCATTTTTGACCTACTTGGCAAAATTCCCAGGCGGCAGACAACGTATTCTGGCAGACCATCAGTTGTCTCTGAGATGGAAAGAAGGGTAGTTTAACAGTCCCGAAGGTCTCCGGATGCGTTCTTGCCAAAGATAATGACATACTTCGGCGATTAAGTGATAGAGGGCATTGAAGAACTCCTTAACCTCGAGCAACCGCAGGAAGACTCACCTGAAGAGCAGCAGGCAACGGATGTTAGTCTTACAGCAGTCGAGGTCACCGAAGCAGAAAATGGCTTGAAAAGTGCCAAGGCTGCTGGAATCTATGAAATCCGCCTTAAGATTCTTAAGACTTTAGGCTAACAGGGCATGTTGCGACTAACACTTGTCTGTCAAACTGGAATATCTACGGGAAAGATATCATTGGACTGCAGAACATGTATTATAATACCCCTGTTCAAGAACGGAGACAGTAGGGTCTGTTCTAGTTATCGGAAAATTGCCTTATGGAGTCTCCCGGGAAATGTGTACGCTAAGAGGTTAGGAAGTGCCGCGTGATAATACATTATAAGATCAAGAACAACAGTGCGACTTCAGGCCAGACCGAAGCGCCTCTGACCAGATTTTCGCCCTACGCCAGTTTGTTGAGAAATCGTTAAGTGTTCGTTCAGCAGGTTTGCATGTGCTTTGTTTGTGTTGACTTGAATAAAGTCAATAACTGGAACCTGCACAGAAAGCTTTGGACGTGTCTGCATATACGCGGGATCGATGACCAGTTGCTATCAGCGATCCAGTCATTGCATATTGAAAGCAGATGATGTGTCACTGTAAATGGTTATGTCGAAATATTTTAGGGTGTCGGCACTGGTCTCTGTCAGTCTAACCTTCTGTCCCCTCCTGTTTGTTTTACATGGATAGGATGGTGAGGCGCAGTGATGGAGGGATGACAAGTGTTATTAGAGTTAGAGATGTGGAGACGAGAAGGATGATGTTTACAAACGACCTTTTGTCAGCATCTGCATGAGATAATCTTTTCGATTGCTGGAAGTGTTCACAGTCGCGTTCGACAAGGTCGGCACGCGTGTGAACGTATCTAAAACGAAAAGCCTAGTGCTTTTATGTTCTCCTGCATGCTGTTCTCCAGTTAAGCGGAGAGGCAGTGGAGCAGGTTGGGAAGCTTAAGTGCTTCGGCGTCGTGTTTAATGGTGACGGAAAATGGAGGAAGAGATCGACGAGCGAATTGGAATAGTCAGCAGCATCCTGCGTGAACTAGTCTGAACCGTTGTGAATAATAGCAGAACTGAGTCTGAAGTCGAAGCTCTTTGTGTTCAAGTCGATGTTCACGCTGATGCTCACCTGCAGTCATGGCTCATGGTCCTTGATTAAAAATCTTCTGTTCCGGGTGCAAGCGCCT